CAAACAGCACCTTCCCCAAACAGTGCTTTGTATGGTTTGCTGCCCTGTCTCCACTTTCCCCTGAGAGGCTGCCCATTCAGATTCCCATGAGACCCTTCACTTAGAGTGTGGAGGTTCGGTAATAAGTCATCCACGCTCCTCCCACCCCAATCCGCTCAGTGAGAGCCTTTATCACGGATTATGAGGGCTCAGCCTTCCAAAGTCTCAGTTTCCTATTCCATTGAAGGGGGAAGAGAGTTTCTAAATGATCAAATTGACCTTGGTCCAAAAGACGTGAATAACACTTAGTGAGTGCTGAGCACTTACTGTGCTGGGGACTTTACACCATATCCTGAATATAACTAGCACCTCTTGCTGCCCACTCCCTGCTTGGTTACTGGATTCAAAGAGACAGCAGTACTGCCTCATTCTATAATTGTATTCAAATGTTCACTTGGTTTCTCAAATAAATGCAAAAGAGGGATACATTCTCAATGCACAGAGAAGGGCTCCTTGAAGTCCTCTTCAGACATTTCTCCTTCTCAAGTTCTTTTGTCACATAGTGGCTTCAGGAACTTTGCACTTCCTTAGCTCCCCTCGAGACCTCCTGAAACCCAGCCCAGAGTCTCTCCCTTCTCAGTACCCTCACCCTCAGTTGCTCTTCCAGGTTATTTTTTCACCTATTACTGCCCTAGAAAACATGTTCTGCCTGTTATTCTGGAAGCGTTTTCTTACTTCCCAGGAAGCAGAACTCAGAAATCTTAGTGAACGAAATCTTCCACCTTGTTACACACATACCACTTTCTTTTTTTTTTTTTTTTTTTTTTGAGAAGGAGTTTCGCTCTTGTTACCCAGGCTGGAGTGTAATGTCACCATCTCGGCTCACCGCAACCTCCGCCTCCTGGGTTCAAGCAATTCTCCTGCCTCAGCCTCCCGAGTAGCTGGGACTACAGGCGTGCACCACCATGCCCAGCTAATTTTTGTATTTTTAGTAGAGACGGGGTTTCACCATGTTGACCAGGATGGTCTCGATCTCTTGACCTCGTGATCCACCCGCCTCGGCCTCCCAAAGTACTGGGATTACAGGCTTGAGCCACCGCGCCTGGCCGGCATACCACTTCTTTTAATTCTCAACAGCCATTAAGTGGCAGAGCCTGCAGGACTCAACAGGTCACTGAACTCCACAGTCAGATACTCAGCAAGGTGACTGTCACCTAATAAGTGCTCAACACGTGTCAGCCCCTCTCTCCTCCTTTGGCCATGCCATGTCTGCTCAAGAACCTTCAAGCTCCCTATTGCCCAGAGCAGGGTCAGCAAACTGTGACCTGCAGCTCAAATCTAGTCTGCCATCTGTTCTCACAAATAAAGTTTTATTGATACATAGTCACATCCATTTGTTTGCATATTTTCTACAGCTGCTTTCATGAGTAGCTATAACAAGAGATCACATCTTAGAAAACCTGAAGTTTTTACTATCTGACCCCTTACAGAAAGAATTTGGGCTGGACATAGTAGTTCACACCTGTAATCCTGGTATTTTGGGAGGCTGAGGCAGGAGGATCACTTGAGGCCAGGAATTTGAGACCAACCTGGACAGCACAGTGAGGCACTGTCTCTACCAAAAAAAAAAAAACAAAAACAAAAGAAGCTCGGCACGATGGTGCATGCCTGTAGTCCCAGCTACTCAGGAGGCTGAGGTGGGAGGATCGCTCGAGTCCAGGAGTTCTGGGCTGTAGTGCACTATGCCCATCAGGTGTCCACACTAAGTTCAGCATCAATATGGAGACCTCCTTGGAGCAAGGACCACCAGGTTGCCTAAGGAAGGGTGAACCAGCCCAGGTTGGAAATGGAGCAGGTCAAAACTCTCATGCTGGTCAGTACTGGAACTGCGCCTGTGAATAGCCACCGCACTCCAGCCTGGGCAACATAGTGTGCCCCAATCTCCTAAAAAAAAAATTAGGCGTGGTGGTGCACACCTGTAGTCCCAGCTACTTAAGAGGCAGAAGCAGGATGATCGCTTGAATCCAGGAGTTTGAGGCTGTAGTGAGCTATGATCATACCATTACACTCCAGCCTGGGTGACAGAGAGACCCTGTCTCAAAAATAAAATTAAAAACAAAATTTAAAAGGAGTTTGCTGACCCCTAGACTAGAAAATAAAAGGCAACAGAAAATGTATCATATGTCCTTTGACTCTCTCTGCAATTCTCAATAAATAAATTTCAAGACTGGGTGTGGTGGCTCATGCCTATAATCCTAGCACTTTGTAAGTACCAAGGTAGGTAGATTACCTGAGCTCAGGATTTTGAGACCAGCCTGGGTAACATGGCAAAACCCCATCTCTATTAAAAATTCAAAAAAGTAGTCAGGCATGTAGCTTGGCATGGTGTCACACACCTGTAGTGCCAGCTACTTGGGAGGCTAAGACACAAGAATTGCCTTGAACCTGGAAGGCGGAGATTGCAGTGAGCCGAGATTGCACCACTGCACTCCAGCCTGGGCAACAAAGCAAGACTCTCTCCAAAAATAAATAAATTTCAAATGGATGAACAAGAAGCCCACACTGTCATCTTGGAGCCACAGCCTAAACTAAATATGGTCAGACACCCCAACTTCCTTGGTCCCAAACAATGACCCCTTGTCCTTGTGAGTCACAGTCGACCTTTCCAGGACTGCTGCAGACATCCCTGACTTCTTGACTCTGGAGCTATCAGGGAAGTGAAGATCCATAAGTCCACTGTTTTTTTTTTTTTTTTTTTTAGATGGAGTTTCACTCTTGTGGCCCAGGCTGGAGTGCAATGGCGCAATCTCGGAAGCTCACTGAAACCTCCGCCTCCCGGGTTCAAGTGATTCTCCAGCCTCAGCCTCCTAAGCCTGGAATTACAGGTGCCCGCCACCACTCATGGCTAATTTTGTATTTTTAGTAGAGATGGGGTTTCACCATGTTGGCCAGACTGGTCTCAAACTCCTGACCTCAGGTGATCCGCCTGCCTTGGCCTCCCAAAGTGCTGGGATTACAGGTGTGAGCCACCGCACCTGGCCTAGTCCACTGCTTCTTTACCCTTTACATCCACATCCCCTTCAGAGAGAAAAATTTCATACTCCTCCTTTTCTGGTGTGCAACATGAAAACAGTTTTCTTTTAAACTCACCCAACAGTCCCAGTGTAGTGGCTCTGCTAATAAAGACACACCTGAGACTGGGTAGTTTATGAAGAAAAGAGATTTAATTGACTCACAGTTTCACACGGCTGGGGAGGCCTCAGGAAACTTAGAATCATGGCAGAAGGAGAAGCAAACACATCCTTCTTCACATAGCAGCAAGAGAATGAGAGCTGAGCAAACGGGGAAGCCCCTTATAAAAACATCAGATCTTGTGAGAACTCACTCACTATCACGAGAACAGTATGGGGAAAATTGTCCCCATTATTCAATTATTTCCACCTGCTTCCGACCTTGACACATGGGGATTATTACAATTCAAGATAAGATTTTGGGTGGGGACACAGCCAAATTCTATCAGGCTCATACCTGTAATCTTAGCACTTTGGGAGGCCAAGGTGAGAGGATCACTTGAGGCCATTAGTTTAAGACCAGCCTGAGCAATACAGTAAGACCCTGTCCCTACAAAAATATTTTAAAATCAGCCCTACATGGTGGTGTACACCTGTACTCCAAGCTACTTTGGAGGCTAAGGCAGAAGGATTGCTTGAGCCAAGAGTTCAAAGCTGCAGTGAGCTATGATCATGCCACTGTACTCCAGCCTGGGCAACACAGCAAGACCCTATCTCAAAAAATAAGATAAAATAAATACAACAAACAAAACTATAATGTTGAATATGCTTTTCAAACTATACTCACCCGCATTCATGAAAGGCATTGATCTTGTCCAAATCGCTCATTTTACCACTAGGAAAACTGAGGTACAGTTAAAGGAATCAAAGTGCTCAAGAGGGTCCAGTGAGACAGAAGCACATCTGGGACAGTTAGAGCTCCTGGTGCCCAGCTTGATGCCCAGGCATTTCTCAGAGTCTATGCCTTGCCAGGGACAGGATAGGTGACTTGGAAGTGGGCAGGCTCCTGTGCCGTCATGGCCTCCGCCAGGCTCCTCAGTGCTCTCAAGCTAACCTATGGGGTTCCCAAAGGGAAAGAGGTGTCTGGCACTTGGTCTGTGGTGCCGAGGCTGCTGGAGAAAGGAGCCCCGAGTTCTACGTGCAGATCAGTGATGAGCAGCTCCAGATTAAGGACCCAGAAGAGAGAATGAGGAGCCCTTTTTAGTTCCGACTCTGCAGCCTCCTTGTCACCACCTCCTCTATCACAGCTGCTCACTCTGCATCCTGGACCCGATGCCTGCCCTGTCAGGCTGCCCCATCAGCGTCTCTCTGGCTCCTGTACCCTCCTCCCAACCAATGACAGCCTCACTTCACACTCTGACAGGAATCCAGCCCACCACCTGTAGGCCCAACATAACCCACATATGTGTTTGGTTTGTCTGACACTATTTAAAAACAATCTGAATTAGTTACTCATGTTTAAAAACCAGTAGGAATCATCTAAAATATTGAATTTCTTGATTCTCTTGAAGAATCTACAGATTGACAATATGAGGCCTGCATTATTTTCTGGCAGGGCAGCGACTGACTGGGCTAAGGGGTAGCTTCCCCATCTGGATGGGGAACTTACACAGCAGGCCCAGCATCTTCACCACTCCCTGTTGCCTTCCCAGCCCTGCTGCTGCGCTCCTTTAGATGACCTGTCTGGCCTTGGAAGGCATTTGCAACCCTAGTCTTGACCACTTTGATCTGAGCCTTCCCCACATCCAGCTCATCAGATAAGACCCTCCTACCCTGAGACCATCCCCAGTGATTAACCCATCCACACCCAGCCTCTGACCATCCATTCACTCAGCCCATCCAAGTGTCAAGGGAGACTGTGGCCCCATTGCTGTCCCCCAAATACCTCCCTGGACCCACAGCTCAGCCCTCCAGGCCCCCCTCCTCCAAGTCCCATAACTCCCATGGTGGTCATTCAGAAAGCATGGTGGCCAATCTACCATCCTTTATTTGTCCTAAATAAGGACCCCTGCACTTTTATACTGAGGCAAGAGTTCTTGAATTTTGTACCGAGGTGCTTTGATGCCTTGGACAATCCTCAATGGGGGCAGGTATTTTTGGGGCGCCTTAAAAATGGGATAACAAGGTTTAGTCGTCTTGTTGATGCTGCACAAATTCAGGACCACAGACCTAGGGTCGTATATCCCTTTCCTCTTGGGCCGGATTGGGGGGAACGGTGGACTTTGGCGATGCTTCACTAGCAGCTGCAACAGATCCTTCCGAAAGACATTCCAGCTATTCTCCTGGAGGAACTTCTGGCACATATCTTCATCACTAAAGGGCAGGCACAGAAGCCGAGGGTCTCATGCCAGTCCCGCCCCTCCAGCCTTGCCTCCTGCCACTCTCCCCTCCCTAAGCGCATGGTGCTTCATCCCACTTCTCTGCCCCTCCCAGACTCTCCCTCAGCTCCTTTCCCTTTCCACAGTTTTCTTCCCTTAGGCCTGTTCTGTCTCATGTAGCAGCAATGGCCCACATGTAGCTACTGAGCACCTGCAATGCGGCCAGTCTGAATTAGAGATGTGCTGTGAGTGTAAAATACACATCAGATTTCACAGACTTAGAACAACAAAAGAATGTAAAATAGCTTGTTAATCATTTTATGTTGATAAAGTGTGGTATATACATATTACCCAATTCCATTTATGCGAAATGTCCAGAACAGGCAGGTTTATACTGACAGGCAGTAGATTTGTGACTGCCTTGGACTGGTCATGGTGCTCTGGCTCCACCCTGCCCTCTCCCCTCATAGCAAGTAAGGCTGAGGAAGGTGGAAGAAGGACTGAAGCCTCCTGAGACCACAGCAAAGCAAGGGGGTGTTAAACTTCAATTAACTCAACTGTACTCCCTTACCTAAGGAGACAAGCTGAATACATCACTAACAAGTCAGAACATTCTTCCAGCCAGATCACATCAACAAAGATAAAGTCAACTTTGATCCATAGAGATTGGCTTAAAAAAAAAACCCAGAGGTCAGCATGGCCAGAAGCTAGTCCTGTAGCGTCAGCAATATGACAAAGCTAGCTTCCACCCCACTCACGAAAGCTGACTGTATGTACCTTTTCTCAACACCATGCTTGCAGCAGCAGGTTGGTAGTATGAAATTGGCCATGGTGGGAGTATTTACAACACAGAAATCAGCAAACACTGCAAGCCAGGGTCCTCCTCCCACGCCTTAGAGAGCTGGTTGTTAAACACCCGTGAGCATGCTGCTGGGTAGTCCTCTCTTAAAAAGTTTCATTAACTCCCAGTTTCTTACACAATAAATAACAACATCTCACTCTGACTTAGAACTTACCATGTGTCAAGCACCTTACATTTGTTAACTCATTTAATTTTCACAACCACCCCATTTCACAAACATAGAAACTGGGGTGAGCCTAAGGGATTCATCAAAACCTAGGAGGGACAAGCATGTGATGACTAATTCTTAAGAGATTTTTTTTTTTTAACCTACATACTAAGCTAAGACAGACAAGACTCCATGTCACTTCCTGATGCTGATGGTCACAGTGATTTCTAGTCTACTTTTTCACTGAACAGGGTAGCCTCGGCTTCACACAGGGGTCTCAGTTCCAATCCCCTGTCTTACTTGAACTGAAAGCTGCATCTGTCCTTTCAGCCTTTAAAAAATCAGCCCATAGACAAGCACAGTGGCTCACGCCTGTAATCCCACCACTTTGGGAGGCCAGGCAGGTGGATCACTTCAGGAATTCGAGACCAGCCTGCCCAAGATGGTGAAACCCTGTCTCTACTAAAAATACGAAAGTTAGCCAGGTGTCGTGGTGCACGCCTGTAATCCCAGCTACTTGGGAGGCTGAGGCACAAGAATCACTTGAACCTGGTGGGTGGACGCTGCAGTGAGCTGAGATCATGACACTGCACTCCAGTCTGGGTGACAGAGTGAGACTCTGTCTCAAAAAAAAAAAAAAAAAAAAAAAAAAATCAGCCCGTGATGCCGTTAAGCTCTCCTGGGCAATCCCCAGCATTAGTTCACATTATCTGTCTGTTTTGAGTGATCCTCTTCACTTTGGCCCTGGGAGATTTCCTGACTTTCTTGTGGATGCAGCCATGTGTCCTATCTCTCGTGGCCCCCCGTGTTCTGTACAGGTGATTTTCAGGATATCCAGCCTGAGCTATTCACCTAACAGGTGCCTCTGCCACTGGCTCTGTGATCTTCAGGACCTTAGAGTCCTCGGTTAAAACATGAGGGATTTGAGCTAGATAATGGATATGTTTTCTGCCTGCTTTAGCAGTCTAGAAAGCCATGAGTTCAACGATTAATGAACAAGACCGAATTCTGTGGGTCAGCATTCTAGATGAGGGCTGCCAATGCTGACTGAGCAAGGCAGATGCCGCGTGTCCCATCTGCCCCCACTCAAGTCTATGTAAACTTTTTCTGAATTTCCATTCAACAGTTATTAACTGATCCCCATCACAAGCCAGGCATTATGCAAGGAGCTAAGGCTCCTTAAACCCTTTTTTGAGTGGTAGGTCTGAATGACCATTTCCTATTTTGGTAGTACCCAGGAATCAGAGAAGTGTGGCATCCTTGAACCAGAAGAAACCACCAGTATTTCTAGGCTTGTTTTTCTCACAAGACTGCCCCAGTGTTGGCCCTATATTTTCTGCTCTTTAAATTTACTAATGATTTTCCTTCAATCTATCCAGTTTCTTTTACTTAAATATTTACTTTGTCTTAAGCAACACGATCTGTCAGATCACAGGGTTAGTAAGCTAGTCATGCTGCTTTTTCTAATTCACACAAGTAAATACCTAACTGTTAAAACTAAAAATGTCAATCTGTAAGCCGCCTGAAGTCATCCTGTAAGCCTCCTGTGGAATATGTTCCATACTTTAAAAAACACTGATCTACTCTAATTTTCTTGTGTTGCTCACTGGAGTCAGAAGCCTAGAGGAGGTCATGAAGAGCTCACATTGCCCAAGGTCATGAAGAGCTCATGTGAGATCCTTTTGTGTGCTTATTGGCCAGGGGCTGGAATCACCTGCAGCTCTGCCTGCCTTCATACCTACTTTCTATACCATTGCAATCACTCGCTTCCCACACCTGCTGGCAAAACCATGTCTGATCACAATATCACTGCAAGTAAAGAAAAACGAGAGGATGCAAAATTGTGTAAGAAGTATGAGCTCTGTTATGAAAACAGAGCATGATGATAAATGTACATTTGGTACATATCCATGAAGTGAAGAAAAACACTAAAAGGAAATACAGAAAATGCTAACTGGCATTGCTGGAGGACTGCAAATGATTTGGGTTTTGTCTTTTTCGCTCTTCGGTGTTTTTTAATTTTCTGCAATGAGTATGGCCCAATCATTCACATTTAGCCAAAATTTATTAAGCACCTGCTGCATGCTGGGTACTGTTACAGGTGCTAGAGACCAAAGGTGGATAATGCACAGCCTTGCCTTCCTGAAGCATTTAATCAGGTGGAGGGAAAGAGCTGTGCAAACAGGTAACTATATGACAACATGATACAGTCAATGACAGAGCTGTGTAGAGAATATTATGAGTGTGCAGAAAAGGAGTACTTATCCCAAACTGGGGTTAGTCTGAGGAGGTTTGCTTCAGACGATGAATCTTACAGAATGAGCAGGAATTTATCACAAAGGGTTAGGGCAGGACTGGGGTTAGCATTTCAGGCAAAAGAGCCAGCACTAGCAAAGGCAAGGTATGTGCAGCCCCTAGCAGGCAACCCACCTGGGTTGCTGGAGTGGGCTGGATGCGGCAGGAGATACTGCAGGGAGCCTGAGTAGGGGCCAGACTGTGGTGGGTCATTGAGGTAGCACTGAGTTTGGACTTTATCCTACAGGCAGTGAGATACCACTGAAAAGTTTCAAGCAGGAGTTTAACACAACTAGATTAGGTTTTTAACAAGAACACAGTGTGCAGAAAGAATCCAGCAGGGAGGAGACTGAAGGAGAGGAACCCATGATAAGACTCTTGCAGGAGTCCAGCTTGGTGGTCCCGAAGTGGGGGATGGAGGCCAGGAGCAGTGGCTCATGCAATCCCAGCACTTTGGGAGGCCAAGGTGGGTGGATCCTTTGAGCTCAGGAGTTTGAGACCAGCCTAGGCAGCATAGCAAAACCCTATTTCAACCAAAAAATACAAAAAAATTAGCCAGGCATGGTGGCACCTGCCTGTGGTCCCAGATACTAGGGAGGCTGAGGTGGGAGGATCACTTAAGCCTGGGAGACAGAGGTTGCAGTTAGTTGAGATGGAGCCACAACATGCCAGCCTGGATGACAGAGTGAGACCCTGTCTCACTCGCACACACACACACACACACACACACACACACATACACACACAAAACAAAGTTGGGGTGGAGAGATGTGTCACCCAGGGAGATGTACAAGATCTACTAGAGTATGTGAACAGTAGCATTTCATTTATACATACATATATATATATATATGTATGTGTGTATGTATATATAATATATATATTCATTTATATATATACATAGAAATGTATAAACATACACACACACATATATATACATATTTTTTTAGACAGAGTCTTGCTCTGTCACCAGGCTAGAGTGCAATGGGGCAATCTTGGTTCACTGCAACCTCTGCCTTCTGGGTTCATGCAATTCCCGTCTCAGCTGCCCGAGTAGTCGGGACTACAGGTGCACACCACCAAACCCAGCTAATTTTTTGTATTTTAGTAGAGTATAGACGGGGTTTCACCATGTTGGCCAGGATGGTCTTGATCTCCTAATTTCATGATCCGCCCACCTCAGCCTCCCAAAGTGTTGGGATTACAGGCGTAAGCCACTACACCTTGCCTGGATTTCATTTATATTTATCTTTCTCTTATTCTTTTAAGAGATCTATTTTTATATGTTTATAATATATATAAGTACAGTAATACATGTAGATATAATGAAAATAAATTAACATGTTATTTATATTACATATGCATACCAGTGAGTACAAACTTGAACATTTTTAAGTAATAGCAGTATGAGGTGAAACAGTTTGGAGACCACTGGTCTGGGCAATAAATTAATTTTTACATTTTATTTTATTTTATTTGAGACAGAGTCCTGCTCTGTTGCCAGGTGCCAGGCTGGAGCGCAGTGGTGCAATCTTGGCTCACTGCAATCTCTGCCTCCTGGTTCAAGCAATTCTCCTGCCTCAGCCTCCCGAGTAGCTGGGACTACAAGTGTACGCCACCACGCTCAGCTAATTTTTGTATTTTTTAGTAGAGACAGGGTTTCACCGTGTTAGCCAGGATGGTCTCCATCTCTTGACCGCGTGATCCACCCGCCTTGGCCTCCCAAAGTGCTGGGATTACAGGTGTGAGCCACCATGCCCGGCCAATTTTTACATTTTAAAAAGTTATTTGTTCCTATTATAAAACCATTAACATTCACTCTAGAAAATTTGGACACTATGAAAAAGTAAAATTTATCTACTCTTTCAAGATACATATTTATTTTTAATAATTATAAAAGTAAATCTCAGCACTTTGGAAGACCAAGGCAGGAGGATTGTTTAAGTTAAGGAGTTCAAGACCAGCCTGGGCAACATAGTGAGACCCCTATCTCTACAAAAAATTTTTTTAAATTAGCTAAGCATTGTAGTGCCTGTCTATAGTTCCAGCTACTCGGGAGACTGAGGCGGGAGGATCACTTGAGCCCAGGAGGTCAAGGCTACAGTGAGCCATGATTATGCCACTGCACTCCAGCCTGGGGAATAGAGTGAGAACCTGTCTCAAAAAAATAATAAAAATAAAATTTAAAAAAGCAAGGGATTTGCATTGCAAGAACAAACATGAAAGGAATATATAACCAGAAAGTACCCCTTAGTCTCACCTTCCAGAGAAAACAATTATTACCACAGGCATTCTTATTTTTGCTTATTTCCTTCTAGGTTTCTCTCAGGTAAGTGTTTTACAAAGGCAGGGGCATAGCACATGTACAATTCTCTACTGCCCTTTTCTAGTATCATTATATCACCCATTTTATCCTGCTATTACAGAGCCATTAAGCTTACCATTTTTTAAATGAAACAATTATGTTCTATCAAAAGAATACACCACAATTTTGTAAACTATCCCCTTAGTGTGGCACATGTGAATGTTATCATTGTTTTTCTATTATGAATATGGCTGCTATGAACATCTTATTTTATTTATTTATTTATTTAGAGACAGAGTTTCCCTCTTGTTGCCCAGGCTGGAGTGCAATGGCACAATCTCAGCTCACTGCACCCTCTGCCTCCCAGGTTCAAGTGATTCTCCTGCCTGAATCTCCCGAGTAGCTGGGATTACAGGCACCAGATACTACACCCAGCTAATTTTTGTATTTTTAGTAGAGGTGGGGTTTCACCAAGTTGGCCAGGCTGGTCTCAAACTCCTGACCTCAGGTGATCCAACTGCCTTAGCCTCCCAAAGTGCTGGGATTACAGGCGTGAGCCACCACACCTAGCCTTATTATTATTATTATTGTCATATTAGAGACAGAGTTTTGCTCTTGCTGCCCAGGCTGGACTGCAATGGTGCGATATCAGCTCACTGCAACCTCCGCCTCCTGGGTTCAAGTGATTCTCCTGCCTGAATCTCCCGAGTAGCTGGGATTACAGGCACCCGCCACCACAGCCAGCTAATTTTTGTACTCTTAGTAGAGACAGGCTTTCACTCTGTTGGCCACACTGGTCTCGAACTCCTGACCTCAGGTGATCCACCCACCTCAGCCTCCCAAAGTGCTGGGATTACAGGCATGAGCCACCATGCCTGGACTTATTGGTTTTTGTTTGTTTTTTTTGGGGGGGGGGGTTTGAGATGGAGTTTCACTCTTGCTGCCCAGACTAGAGTGCAATGGTGTGATCTGGGCTCACCACAATCTCCACCTCCTGAGTTCAAGTGATTCTCCTGCCTCAGCCTCCCGAGTAGCTGGGATTACAGGCATACGTCACCACGCCCAGCTAATTTTGTATTTTTGGTAGAGATGGGGTTTCTCCATGTTGGTCAGGTTGGTCTCAAACTCCCGACCTCAGGTGATCTGCCCGCCTCAGCCTCCCAAAGTGCTGCGATTACAGGTATGAGCCACCACGTTCAGTCTTATTGTTTCTTAAGACAGAGTTTCGCTCTGTCACCCAGGCTGGAGTGCAGTCGCATCATCTCCGCTCACTGCAACCTCTGCCTCCCAGGTTTAAGCAATTCTCGTACCTCAGCCTCCTGAGTAGCTGGGATTACAGACATGTGCCACCATACCTGGCTAATTTTGTATTTTTAGTAGAGATGGGGTTTCACTAGGTTGACCAGGCTGGTCTCAAATGCCTGACCTCCAGTGATCTGCCTGCCTCAGCTTCCCAAAGTGCTAGGATTATAGGCATGAGTCACCATGCCCAGCCCTGCATTGAACATCTTAATGCAGGGGCTTTCTCAGTATTTTGACTCTGTAAATTCACAGATAAATCTCTGTCTCAAAGTGTTGGGACAGTTTTATAGCCCTTGAAATGTAATGCTAAAATTGTTACCAAAAGGATTGAGCCTATCTAGTCTGTACCAACAACTCCCAGTTTCATTTCACCCTTGTCAGCATTAAGTATTATACTTTTTCTTTTACTAAAATAACAGGTGAAAAATCATTCATTTCACCTGCACATTTCCAGTACTGACCTGGGGAATGCAGTATTGAGCTTTAACAACTTGTTTATCATCTCATCATCACTGTCAATCAGTTCATAAAAGTTTTCCTTCCTTATCCGTATCATCTCATTTCCCAGGCTCAACAGGATGAAGGGTCGTGTGTCGTGTTCACCCTCCGGAAGGAAGAGCTGGTGAAGGCCCTGGGGAAAAGGTGCAGAAAGTTAGACCTCAGAGAGTGGCCAGGTCTGCCCTCAGATTTTCTAGATGGGAAAAAGAAGGCCTTAAACAGGAGGTGAATTTACCTGGGATCACTGAGCAAATGACAGGCAGGAGAAATCCTGGGCCCTTTTTGCTACATGACATGGAATTCCTCTGACGTTGGAATTAGAAGAGCACCTAAATCACATTCCCCACTGTCCCACCTACTCCAGCAATCTATTGATGCCACTATTGCTCTCAGGTTTTCCCCAACGTCCAATTATAGCTCTTCTTTTTGTAAGATAAACCTGTTTTCTTTTCCTTAGGACTTACAAAAGTCAAACAGCTAGGCGCCAGCTGCAGTGGCTGACACATGTAATCCCAGCACTTTGGGAGGCCCAGGTAGGTGGATCACTTGAGCCCAGGAGTTTGAGACTAGCCTGGGCAACATGGTGAAACCACATCTCTACAAAAATTACAAAAGTTAGCAAGATGTGATGGTGCATGCCTGTAGGCCCAGGCTGAGATGGGAGGATTTCTTGAGCTGAGGAGGCAGAGGTTGCAGTGAGCTGAGATCCTGCCACTGCATTCCAGCCTGGACGACAGAGCAAGTGACTGTCTCAAAAAAAGTAAAACAGGCTGGGTGCGGCAGCTCACACCTGTGATCCCAGCACTTTGGGAGGCCGAAGCAGGCAGATCACCCGAGGTCAGGAGTTTGAGACCAGCCTGGCCAACATGGTGAAACCCCGCCTCTACTAATAACACAAAAATTAGCCAGGCATGGTGGTGGGCACCGTAATCCCAGCTACTCAGGAAGCTGAGGCAGGGAAATCGCTTGAACCCAGGATGTAAAGGTTGTGGTGAGCTGAGATTGTGCCACTACACTCCAGCCTGGGGTGACAGAGTAAAACTGTGTTTCAAAAAAAAAAAAAAATCAAACAGCTAGTCCTCTTCTAGACCTTATCTTTGCAGCCACCCACCGCACCTTTTACTGCAGGCTTGTTTCTCCTCCGTTCCTCACAGACTTCAGTGGCCACAGGCCTCCTCTCCAGCTCGAGCTGCCCTCCTGCTCCTCAGCTTGAATTCCTACTTTGTACTATGTGGAAGGGAGATGGAAGTCCACAGGCATACTCGCCTCCTTGATGAAGAGTATAATCCCCTTTTTAAGGAGACACCCTGGGACAGGCAGAGCCAGGACTAAAATCTTTGTTGCTGAATCCCAATCCAGTGCTCACGCTTCAGCCTCTCAAGGCTCAGGCAAGGAGGGGCAGGGGCAGGAAACGTTAGTGGCCCCAGAGTCACTAATGCCAGCTGCGTTGGGCTTAAGAAGAAAAAGGGCCATAAATCAAGAAGCCTGCTCTATGGAGGACACCTGGGGTTGGGAGTAATCCTGGATCCAAGTTGCTATGGTTGAGGTGCAATATACATATCTAATTACCATCTTTTGTTGAGAAATGCTGAGTGTATGATAAAATATATTGTTTGCTAAGAACGATAATGAGGAAAACCTAGCCGACCCTGCCCCCAAGTGGAAAACTACTTGGGGCATTCTAAAGTGGCAAGACAGTATATGTATATCAAACACCGGTTAAAACAATTCTTTAAGCGTGGGATATGTGACCCTGCCCCCCGTGGCTCCCTCGTGGAGAATACTTTCTGGTTTGTCCTTGATCAGTGGTAAACAAGCACCAGCTGCCTGACTAGTTTATCTTGGTTCTATGAGAAAACACAGAACACCTGTTTGTTAATAATAATCACCTGTTCAGAGAGAATAACTATGTGGGTCAGAATCTGCTTGAGGCCTTCAGCCTGGAATACTGTCAGCCCCCTGAGGCTCTCAGCTCAGAAGCCTGTTGTCCCCCACCTCCCTGGATAGTCCCACTTTGCTGTTCTATCTGGGTGTCTGCTTCTTAATGCCTTCAGCGCCGCCTGGGTGGGGGTCTCTACGGCTGAGCTGGTCTTGGTAATCTGTACCATTTTTAAGCATATAGTTCACTGGAAATAAATATATGCATATTCTTCTTTGTTCTTATTCCCTCTCTTCCTCCACATTCCAGCCTCTGCTAACCACCAATCTACTCTCTATCTCCATGAGATCCAGTCTGTAGCTCCCACGTATGAATGAGAACATGTAATATTTGTCTTTCTGTGCTTGGTTTATTCCACTTAACGTAACAGCCTCCAGTGCCATCCACACTGCTGCAAATGACAGGATCTCATTCCTTTTTATGGCTGAATAATATTCCATTATGTATATGTCCCACATTTTCCTTAACCATTCATTTGTTAATGGACACTTAGATTGATTCCATATTTCAAAATAGTACTTATGTGATTTGGGACACGCAGTACCTCCTGGGCCATTGCTTTCCTGTGAAATGGAGGTGAGAATATCTGCTGCACATGTCTCCAAGGATTCTGAATTTGAAAGATGTGAAGCTGGATCTGGAACACCCTCCCCACCTCCACCATTTGGGTTCTAGACCTTGAAATACGACCACGTACAAACTCTTCGGTGTTCTGAGCCCTGGCCTTGTCTCTCTTTGGCAAGACTGGGCTAGAGCTATGCTACCTTTCCTATAAAGCTGCTGAGGGTCTATGAAAGATGGCATATGTGAGGGTGCTATGGGGAGGGAAGCACCTCGTGTGTCTCATGTTGAGTACAGCGGCCATGAAGAGCCTCCTAGCCAATTCCAGGCTTTGCACAGAAACCAAAACGGCTGCTCTTTAGCCAGCTCCTACTCTGGGGAGGAAATATATATATGAATTTACCCCTTAGAACCATCCTAGGATATGGGGATTATCATCCTCAGATGTGGAAAATGAGGTTCAGGAGAGGAAATTTACCTATCCACAGTCATGTATCTTATAATTACAATAGCGATGATGATGAAATCGTAACAATAGCACCAGCTAACGTTTATTGAATGCTCACTAAATTCCGGGCCCTCTTGTAGCTTTTGTGTCTATGACCCATTTAACCCTCACCACAACCTGGTAGCTGACTCCTATTCTTATTCTCACGTTACAGGTAAGGATGCTGAGGTTAAGAAAATTGTCCAACATCACACAGCATGAAAGCAATAAACCTAGGCTTGGAACCAGGTGGCCTGTCTTCAGAGTCTGTGCTTTTAGCAAATACAATGAGGAAACTGAGGCACAAAGAGGTTAAGTAGCTTGCCCAAGGTAACGAAGCATAAAGTGGCAGAGCCCAACCTTGATCCCAGGGATCCACTCAGGAGCATTGCTGTCCTTCTCGCTCTCTCAGCCACCTCAAACTGGAGTCAGTTGTTTCTCTGGCTAGATGCTTCAAATAGCTTCCCAAAGCACCTGGGATCAAATAAATCTCCTCATGCCTCCTAAGGCCTGTCCAGCTCCTTATGTCATTGCCACCTTGCTTATTCTGTTCCAGCCACCCTACCCTCCCTTCCAATCTCCTCAACATGCCTCCTCCCTCCTGCCTCAGACCTTGAACTTGCTGATTCTCTGTCTAAAACACTTTTCTGCCAGGATTTTTTCTTTTTTTTTTTTTTTTTTTTTTGAGACAAGGTCTCACTCTGTCCCCAGGCTGGAGTGCAGTGGCATGATTGCAGTTCACTACAACCTCAACCTCCTGGGCTTAAGTGATCTCCTTCCTCAACTTCCCAAGTAGCTGGGACTATAGGTGTGCGCTGGCTAAGTTTTGTTTTTATTTTTGTTTTTGGTAGAGAGCGGGTTTCACCATGTTGCCCAGGATAGTCTCCGGGCCTCAAGCAATCCTCCTGCCTTGGCCTCCCAAAGTGCTGAGATTACAGGTGTGAGCCACTGTGCCCAGCCCCACAGTTTATTCTTTTCATCATTCAGGTCTCAGCTTAAACATCACCTCCTCAGAGCAGCCTTCCCTTACCCACTCCATGTAAGAACCTCCCCACCCCACCTGCTTTCTATTCCATTCCTAACAGCAATTTGTAATTTTCTATGTATTTACTAGTTATCTGTTTATTGTTTGTCCAGAATACATCATAAACCCTGTGAGGGCAGGAATTAGGTGAGTTTACTCAGCCACACCAGCACTTTGTGCCATGCTTGAAGCATGGTAGGTGCTCATAGAATGTCTGCTCAATGAATGACCCAAATGGAGCCACACAGCTTTACAGGCGACAGCTCACCCAGATGAATCTCATTTTCTCATGATACAGATTCAGAAAGGAAAAGTGATTTTCCCAAGGCCACACAGCTAACTATTAGAAGTAAAATGAGAAGGAGAAGCCCCGCCTGCCACCTCTATTCTGCGCTGCCCATGGCTCTGGCTTGCCCAGTTTTGACACCTCAGAGGCCTCAGCCTGCCTGTTCCCTGGAGAAGTTGGATCTCCTATATCTCCTGGCTCAAAACCTGAGTCCCTCTACTCTAGGCCCCAACCTGTGCTGTTTCCAGGGCTGACTCAGCTCCACTCTGCTGCTCCCAAGAGTGAGGATGATGTGACCCACCTTCTGGGGGGAGGGTTCAGGCACAGCAGTTACCACTTTCACTCTCCTACAACTGAAGCCAGGGCCTCAAAACAGGGAGCTCAGAGTCCTAGCACAGGCACCTCACGGAGGCATCCACAGACATTTTCTTCAAAGGGGTCACATTAACGAATATTTGTTGGCCGGGTACTATGGCTCACGCCTATAATCCCATCACTTTGGGAGGCCGAGGTGGGTGGATCATGAGGTCAGGAGTTCGAAACCAGCCCGACCAACATGGTGAAACCCGGTATCTACTAAAAATACAAAAATCAGCCGGGCATGGTGGCACATGCCTATAATCCCAGCTATTCAGGAGGCTGAGGCAGGAGAATCGCTTGAACCTAGGAGACATTGGTTGCAGTGAGCTGAGATCGTGCCACTGCACTCCAGCCTGGGCAACAGAGTAAGATTCTGTCACACACACACAAAAAAATTGTTGAAGGTCTTTTATTTACTGGCCCTGAGTGGGAAGCAGCAGCCAGGTCCTTATGCTAAGTCCCCACCCAAAGCCTTC